TTTTATCGGCAATCGTTTACGGTGAAGGGGTGAAAATCGTCCTCAAAGTCGAGAGTAGTAAGTACATTTAGTCCAATATCTCGAAACTTATTAGAGTTAGAGAAGCGGTGTAAATTGATCAAATTTATATGTCTGAATGACGAATGTGACTGCGTAAATAGAAACTTTCGCGGTTTGCATGGCGAAAATCTGCATTGTAATTTTGTCCATTGAAAAAATAATTAACGATATGTAGCATATCGTAATCAGAAAACATAAATATACGTGCTATAAATCTCGGACAAATATAAAATAAGAGCATATTTTAAGAACAATTATTTCTTTTATTTTTCAAAAAATCAAAATTCTAATTTATCCGTATTTTGTGTTTGGGTATGTAATTTATGTATAAAAATTTACGCGAAAAACGATAAATATTTTACATGAAAAATTAATAGAAAAATTTAATTTTTAGTATATTATTCAAATAAATGGACTTTTATTCGTCATTCAGAGATATAAATTTTGTCTATATACACCACCATTCTATCTTTAATAGATTTCTATAGGAAATTTAATAGAATGTGGACAATTACCGATAAAAAAAAGGTACATGTCGAATATTTTATTGAAATCTACCACATACCAAAATTTCATCAAAATCGGTGATTATAATTTCGGGATATTTCTTTTTAAGTATGAAATCTGCCATATACCTAGCAAAGATTTAGAAAAATCGGTAACTATCACTTCGGGATGTTCTCTTATTAGAATATGTTTCTGTTCATTATCATTAATCTTCTATTTAGTTGTTAATCCTTATTTATTTATTTTTTTAATTCACAGCTTTCTAAGTTAATGTTATTATCCTCTTTTTTACTTCAGTTATTCAAAGTCATGCGTAACACGTTCGAACATGAGAAATGTAGGAAATATTATAATAGAATTGTTCTTCATAAAATTGTTTTATTCAATGAAATACCACCCAAAACAAATGTCGATATTTAAGAAACTATTCTATACTCTATTTCAGCTATAATAAAATATCAATGCTAACTGGTGCTGTGTTACTCGTGAAAAATGTATATCAGTGAATATAATTGAATTAAAATGAAAGTAATTTATAATAAATACTGTACCACGGTTTATTTCAAAACTGTGTCGACAAATGGGTGTTACAAAAGTTGTACTTAAAAGTGACTGTCAAGCAAGCGCAACACGGGAAGTCGTAGGAGCGGAGTAGAGAGCGGGAGGTTTGACTTGATGCATTCGGGTCAGGATAACTAAAATCCTTCTGTCAAGATTTGTCAAATCATAGAGGGTAGGGCTCGTCGTGTCTGCGGTCAGAGGCTCGGTTGCATAACGTATGATCAAAGGTAGAGGGTCTGCAGTTTCAGAGGTTCTGTACCATCGCTTGTTTCGATGGCGGGTTGAGTCAGAGTTTCTCGTTATCGAAGAATGCTTCGTGCTCGCTGCTAAACTTTTTTAATTCTCTCGATGCTCGTGAATGACTGATTTTCAGATCAACTTGAGGGTTTTATCACCTGGTGTACCTGCCTTGCGGCGCGCGTATCGTACCGAATTGTATTGCTTTACCACGATTGTCAAATATACCGGGTGTCCCAATTTTTTTGGGATAAAACTTTGTCAGTATATTCTATGGATACAGATAAGAGAAAAATGTCAAGTGAACATAGGTCGTTTGAAGCTTTGTTAAAAAGTTATAATGATAATACGAAATAGGAAGGTTGTGATACAAAATAGAAATATATCAGAGATATGTACATGTAATCTGTTTATGCGAGCTGTTTTTTGCGATTTGAAGTTATTGAATGTAACTTTTGTCAGTGTCATTCTTGGCTTCTATCATAGTAATCACAAGTTCGTTACCATTCCCTTCGTTTTTCGTATTTTTGTTATAACTTTTTAATGAAGTTTCAAATGACCTATGTTTATATAACATTTTTTTCGTACTTATACTCATAGAAGATACTGATGAAATTTGATCGAAAAAAAACTAGGGCACCTTGTATGTGTTCTTGTATTTACATATTTACAAAATATAGGAGCAAATGGGTGTGCTGCAATATGAATTAATATCATTATAATATGAACGCTGGTTATAGAAATCTAGAAACATTTAAAAGATTCGAGACACACAGTAAACGAGCAATAAAAATAAATGTACACCCGTTCGTATGTATTAGGACACTTACATGAGTGTGAAATGAACTTAAACAGTCATTACGAAAATATTCAGCCTGTAGTTTCATAATATATGTACATATATTTCTGCTGATATGTGATACTAAATCTGGCGAAGAAGTGTACCTATATAATTAACCCTTTAACTAAAGACCATTAGACTCAGGGATCAAAACGAATTTTTATTTCACTATCACAACTAAGTACATATGTGGAGAATTGTGGAAAGTTTGGGGTTTGAGTAGCTTCAATTGACAACAGGTGATACACTATTCTATTAAAAAAAATTCTAACTTTGTATGTAACATTACAACATATGTTTCTGTAAAATATTGCAAAAAACAAATAACATGTATATCATTAAATAATATAGAAAAATAATATAAAAAAAATTTAATACAGCCAAAGTAATCTGAGAGACTACACGTGTGTGGTAACATATTAAAGACAGATGTATGTAGTCAAGGGTTAAATAATATAATAGTTTCTGTACGAATATAAGGGGTATCCCAATACTTACAAACAACAGCATATGTAACAGAATATTGGCGTTTCAATCAATGGAACAATCATCGTATTTTCTAATACTACTAGAACAATTTTCATATGTTTGAAATTCTTTCATTATCCTCAAATTTTCGTAAACATTCAAATAACGTTAAACGACAAAAAAAAAAAAGACAAACTATCAGATTTACCGGCATTCGTTTAAAAACTGGAGACATTGCAGTGCTGCATAGTAAATGTAACAACGAAATCGATGGAGTTCGGCCAATTTCCGACTGATTATTAGCTTACAAGTCTAATCCGCGCCAATTCTATCTGCATTACCGTCGTAGAAGTTTCGCGTGTGTCTCATCAGAGAAAAGGCAATTTTATTTTCGCAAGTGACACGCGATTATTCGAGGGCGAAATAAGCTTTGATGGGACACGTCGGTGAAAGCACTGGGACTTGTGTCTAGCTTTTGTAGAGGTTGTGATTCAAGAGAATATCCGCAGAGTGGATTGGCATGCACAAACCAGACACTCGATCTAATTAATCAGCGACCCGTTATTTCATCGCAAGTACGCTGCATCATTCGGAAAGTGCCACTCGACACAAAGCGGGCAATAACATAGGCCAAATGTGTGCCCTATCTCTGGCTCGCGTGTCAAGCATAAAAAATAAAGCACCAACCATGGACGATCTGGATTCGTCGCGGACGACAGAGAAGGAAACACACCAGTCGGAATAATAAACGGATTTGAGCATCATTAATTTGCGAAGTGTTACTTTCGGTGATAAAAATGTAATTTCGCTTCGTAAATATATTGCCAGGTGAGTCATACATGGGATGAGAGTAAGGTAAAAATTGGGTACTACGTGTTTATGAGGATTTTTCAGGAGCGATATGAAATGTTATTATATGTTCAACGTTAGTATTCTTTTGAAGTACACTTTTTAATTTGTGTAAGTATAGGTATCTATATAGGGATTTTTCTTTTTTAAATAAAATATGTATATTAAGTTTGTAATATTGGATTACTTAAATCAAGATGTGTACTTTGTATTGATAATCTTCTTTTTACTTTCTTCTAAAATATCGTTCATTTTTTAATCACTTAGAATAATTTTGCAGAAGCAACAAGTTTAATGTCTCATATTATTATAAATGAAAGAAGAAAAAACGAAGCTCTTGGAAATTTAGGAATAATTTATGCTAAATTAGTTTTTGTTCATCGATAAATTACAGTAATGAAATTTTTGGAAAAATATATATTTCCAAAATACTGAGAGAGAGAGAAAATTTAAAAATATAAATTGTTTTATTTTACATTCCCTTGATTTCAAGTTAACTTTATTACAATTTTGAATTTTATAAATAACTGAAATTATATGCTTAATTGCTACTTTGAGTGTTCTTTTTATTCCAACAAATTTAAGCGGCGTTAATAAACGCGGCTCTGTAAATTATAAACATTTATAGTTCCTCTAATTATATATGCTACCATGCCACAAAAATATCGGTAAATTTAAAGTATAATATTTATTTAATTTGCATAATATCAAAACTTTTATGTATCCTTTGAATGAAATTTTGTATTTATATTTGAAGTTCACACATACACATTTACACAGAACAAATAAACATTTTAAATAAAAGGCAGTTCAATTCCTCGTTTCAAATTACAAAATTCCCCCATTTACATAATTCATCAATTTTCAATACTCTCCGAGATATTAAACAAAAGCTGTTTACCATCCTTCACTTCTGATGGTAGACAAAAGATAGATACCTACATGTTGAATATTTTTTTCAGAACAACATTACTTGTTAGATTCTTATAATTACATTATTTCTCGCAGAGATAAACGTTTTAAATTTCCAAGGCAATGCAAATTCTTTGCAGGAGATTGCTTTTGAATTTCGAACTATTTCGTAATTATGCTTAACCCAGTCAGTGTATTAACACGACTGCGAATTGATTCTAATCCCTAACCTACTATTTGGATTACTGATAATTTGTTCCTGATTTAAACGCATATCTGTATGTACATGAGTTAATACATCTAGATTGCTGCTTAGCTAATTGAATAATAAGGGCACAGAAGTGTACTCATTAAGTCGCTTATTGTACAAAGTTTCATCCTCTTAAGTAGGTTTAAATAAATTGAATTTTTTTTATATCCGGCAAATTTGCACAAATGAATATGTATACATTGTGAAAAACATCACAAAGTATAAATATTGAATATATTAAAATAAGATCTGTCTTTGTGTAAAAACTTAGTTAGATTTTATTCTTTTTATTTTTTATAATATATCAAAACTTACCTTTGTATTTCGTAATGCTACTGGTGGAACTCGAGTTTGATGTTATTGCTGAAATACACAAAAAAAGGGTATATTCAAAACATTTTTGTTTCATATTAGTTTAAGTTTGTAACCATGCACACAAGTTCTTTTTCTATGCAATAAAAAATTGCTGTTACAAAATTAATGCAATTGTGAGTAAGAAGAAAGCATTTAACCCCTTAACTTATGACAACGAGTCAAACTCGTGGCAGAGATTCTGGTCAAGATGTGACAAAAATAGTTATGTTACTATGAAAAATTAATTTTAATCCTGACTTTGTTTTAATTTGTAAGTCTGAGGATTACTAAATGTAAATAATCTGTAATAGATTAGCTTTTGTTACCTGATATATAATAGTACTGAAACATTAAGTGGCTGATGCTTACATGCACGGTCAGAAAAAAATCATAGGTTAAGGGGTTAATATGATATGAATGTTATAATGCAAAGCAAAATTTGTAATATTAGATTACTTAAATCAAGATGTATACTTTGTTTAATAACCTTCTCTTTACTTTCTTTTGAAATATGGTTCACTTCTTAGCCACTTCGAATAATATATGATAAATTTAATAAATATAAGAAATTTTATTCATGTTTGAATGTGTACAGATTAATAGATATAGAATAACATTCTGATTCATTGCTTCTATAAATATGTGTCAGTAAAAAGTGTTTATCCAACTACGCACAGCATGGAAAGTAGTCTATTTTTATATTCAAATTCAAAGTTCCATGGTCGTTTACGCATGTTCTAACTCCTAGTTACTTTTCACATTACGACTGAAAGTTTATACACGCGAAAGCTTTTCAGTAAACGTATACTTGACACAACGTAGTTTTCAAAAATAACTATTTGCAATACTAAAAATTGCAATTTCTTTAAGGGGAATATTTATGCTCCGGAAAATTTGAAACTTTGAGACTTTAAATTAATTATAGTAGGTGGAAAAATAAAATAAGTAGAAAATATTTCATAGAGTGATGTCATGTATTTTGTTACGACGTAAAAGAGCAATATGAGACAATTGCAACCAGTGTTTATGGCAAGCAGCATTGGATATTAAAATTCTAAGCTTGCCATAAACCTCGAGGAAACTGTAAGTAAAAGTTTCTCTCAATTACTAATTTTTTACCACCCCAACTCTAGCACGACTCACTACCCTCTTTACCTACATACACTACCAGCTCCACATCAAACACGCAGCCAATAGAAACATTGAAATTTTCGTGAAACATCTTTGCACATCAGTTAGATGAATCGAGCAGAATCACCGAATGACAAACATCGCTACAATTCACTAAATAGTCTTTTTTAACTACAATCATTACATTTACTTTCTCAACTACTCACACTAAGTTAATTCGGTGTATACACTGCAGTTCATAAGTATTAGGACACCCATTCTGTTCGTACGGAAAGTACTATATGATTTAAATTACATTTCTTCGACAAAGTTAGTGACTAAAAGTAAATAAAAATATACAGGTGTTCACGCTATTACTTTCCAACATTTTTCTCGTAAGTGATAAATTTGTAAAGAAAATAGAAGAGGACAAAGTTTCATTATATTTTATACGCCATACGAAGACTTCAATAGATTTTTCAAATTTGGAATGGTTTTCGCATAATGACGGTACCATGAAATTTTTTTAATTGATAGCTATAGTTTTTTTTATATTATATTAAGTTTTCCCATAAATTCGTGCCGCAAGCGAAACATATTTTAACCCTTTCATTACTATTGGCGCCTATAGGCGTTTTGAAATTTTGCTCGCACTATATCGTTGGAGCCTTTTACTGCACTTCCACCTTAATTTAATACTTAATTTTATCCTTACGCACTTCCATCTTAATTTAGTAAACCGACTTTTAAAACGATACGGCCAAAATAACAAATTTTGCAGCCGTGGTTAAAAATTTACTGTCAGTCACCCATGTTACGCATTAAAATCTGCTGTAGCGAAAGGGTTAATGAAAATCCAAGGAAATTCTATAACGACGACATAATGATCTTACCAAAATTTTTTTTTTTGGATCAAAAAAGGTTTATTGAAAATAGTGATCTAAACTATAAAATTCGGTACGAATTTATGGAATGACCTAATATGAAAGAAGATGCCGAGACAAGTTCAACGTCCTACAACAAACTCATTTTCAAATACAATTTCGGGTCAATGTTTGATGTGGCACAATCAATGACGCACTATTAGGATCTTGTTTTTATGACAGCACCATAAATGGAAATGGAATTTGCCAGACCTAGATATCAGACATTTCTTTCAGGATCTTAATAATTTTGTAATGACTGTTTAGGTTTGCTTTACATTCAATAAGTGTCCTAATACTTATGTACGGGAGTGAAAATAATTTTGGTACCAATTCTCAAAGATTACGCTTGCGCTTATCTTTGAACAATAAATAAAAAAATAATTTTCAGTAAAGGAAAACATATTTTGTTTTATATTATTATCGTAAAACAATTAATCTTGAATAAATTATTTCTTAAGGGTAATGCATTAGAACTTCATAGAGGTTTCATTGGTATTAGCTAGAAAGCAATTCTTCTTAACTAAAAATTTTCTAATTTTTGTTAACTAGAAACAAGTTTTCTTAAGCATAGTGGTCTTAACAAGATGAGATTATTTCTTTGTCTTACAATAAATGACAATAACCAATTTAGTTCTTTTACAATTGCTTCATTTCTTTCAATATTTATGCATATTATGGGTTAATTTAAATACTTCGTCGAATTTGTATTTCTAAACCGAGTTAGATATATGTAAAAAAAATTTTTTTTTTAAGTTTAACTACGAGCTTAAATGCTTTGGTTCACAACGTAACAATTTTTTTACTATGACTGATAAGCAGTAACAGCAATGATGCTTCGAAACTCATAAGAAAAAGTTCCTACGTAACGATGTAATTTCAAGGTAAAAGTTTGCATTCAATTTATTAACGGTAAAAATACTTTTATTTATAACAAAAAGTTCCCTCATTTTGTTAAATTCTAATTATTAGAAGCAAATTAAAATGTCGATGAAATTTTCACAAAATATTTTATATAAGATATACAGATAATACTCCTTTTATATTAATTCTACGAAATAATTTGATGCTACTTACCATAAACTTTGATGCTGCCATCAGTATCCCCTAATGAATTTCGCGAGACACATTTATATGATCCAAAATCTGATGCACTGACAGAACTTATTGTTAATTTCATTTGAACTTTGTATGCGTTGTCCAACAATATGGGTTCATATTTTCCTCCTGAAAAGAATTACACTTTTATTAGAATTATACTTTTATAAGCAATGATTAAAAATTGATTTAAATTAGTGTACTAGTTTAGTCATAATTTCTGATGAACGGTAAAGTCTTATTTTTATATATTCTTAAAGAAAGAAAGAAAAAAGTAATAATGATTTTCGCCAATACAAACGTTATTATTATTATAGAATTAAAAGATACATATAATACACATTTCTGTGAAATTAATAATTGAATGAGAAGATATTTTCATTGAAAAATAACCAAATTTTCCATAATAAACTTCTATATGAAATATTTCAGTTTGAGGCAATTGATTTCGATTTCAATGCTTCTGAATTTAAACACGTATGGTCGGCTGCCGGGATATTAATCTAATCTAATCTAATCTACCAATTAGCTTAAATTCTGTTAGGTTAGGTTAGATAAATATCCTAGCCGCCGACAGGTGAGACTTAAACTTCCCCAAACTTAAAGCACTAGGTAAATGTGCAAAGTATTTTGTTTTATTCGTTCCTTAATGAACCCGTCAATGGTCAATTAATAATGAAAGTTGACTGTCGGTCACTTACCGACGACCGAATTAACCGCTTAAATTTATTCTTCTTAATTTTACGTTGTTCTGCATTAAGGATGCTGAATGCTAAGAGATTAAGCAAACGAAATCAAGCGTAACTCAAATATAACATAAACAAGAACTACACTAAACGTAAACTTATCCTAAACTTACAGAATATGATATCGAATTTGAAAGTATTTTTGCGTATATCTTAAAAACTAAAGAAGTCCAGCGGTAACATATATAGGGAAAAGTTGTTTATAATGTTGGCTTTGACAACATATTTCAAGGTCATTGAAATTAGTGCTGAGGACCTTATTCCCAATAATTACAGAAATGTTTACTTAAAATTTATTAAAACTACTTATAGATTTTATGCAATAAAACTGTTGCGTACAAAAAAGTGCTTTATTTTCTTAATCCAGTATAAAGTTTGGCACACATAGTTTTTAGGCAAATAATACAGGATATTGGATAACCACGCAAATTTCCAATAATTTAAATTAAGTATACTATCTTCACGAAGAGTGAACGTGACTTCTTGTTAGTTTTTAATACCTAATGTATATTCCATTTGTCTGTTGAACTTCTCCAGACGCAATTAAAAGCGTCTGTTTTTCAAAGCTATACCATTTCAGTATATAGAGGCTTTGCCAAGTGAAAAGTTTACATTACTACTCTGAAATCAGTTCAGTCCTTCAATCGGTTGATGATAAAATGACGGGAAAATGAAATTTTTTAAAGTGACTGTTATTTTTCGTTGTTCGTTGCGGTCACATGCATTCCAGATTGAATTGTTCGAGACAAATGGTAAATATTTTTGCTCATACTGTCGAGCGTGCTTAAACGACTGTTATCGCGTACATTCGCGATATATGAGCACGATTAAGTAATGTAAATACTATTAAAAGAGCTTACACTCGGTGTATTGTTGTCGAGACAAAATCGAACTAACTAAAATTTCAAACCTGAAAATTTTGATTTTTAATTTTACATATTTTCTTGTTACTTCATGTATAACAGAAAAATACATAAAAAGTTAAACATAGAATAAATAAGTAACGGTTATTGTTAAAATTTGATTGTAAAAATGATTACACGAAACAAGGGAAATTGTGTATTATATAATGTATTTCCTTTTGCAATTAAATAAACACTGGAATCGTTTTAAGTTTCAAATAAATTATGAGACATTAAGAAAAATTAAGTATAAAATTTATTTCAATTAAATGAAAGTAATGCAGTATACAGAACATCAATTTTACAGAGGATTCTAAAAAAGAATTAAACTATAGGAATTCGTTAAAATAAATAAATATTCAAATGGATCTGTAAATAAATTTGAAATGATGTAGTAGCTATTTTGTATCTTTTCTGGAAATTGACTGTGTGCAAGCTGTAATACATCCCAATAAACTAGTTAATCTGCACTAGCTATTTGTCTTGTTAATATTCTTGGTGTTTCGCGTTATCAGTCTTGTGTGAAACACCATTGGGCGAATGTACTATCGAACAATACTGTTGTTTGCTATGTCAGCTTCCTACTTTAACGTGGAAATGACAGACATGCACATCGTGTACGACAAGATCTAACCTAAAATAAACATACACCTTTAACCTAAATTATCTCTATGAGAATAAATTTACAGGTTAATGGTCTACATATTCTTTACTACTTTTAAATTAACTATTCTGCAGGATCTCTCTATACATTACGTTGAAAATATTTGTTCTACATGGTGCAAGAATGATCGAACGATTGCATTTATTTTATGCATTTTTTAAATTTGCATTTAGGCTCTGTACATTTCTCAGATCTCTTTTTTTCCGTTTTTTATTCTCGATTTTTCCCGTTTTAATTTGTCCCAAAAATTCTAGGAAAATAAGGAATGCAATTTTTTCACAAGGAACTTCATTTTCAAGAAAATTCAATTTAAAGATTCTAGTACGCGTGCATTTGACTACCTTCGGACAATATCAGGACAAGTACTGATAATACATTTATTAACGATTCTATTAATTTACATTTACATTACGGAACGCATTGTTGAATGTGACATTCTTATTATCTAAAATATAAATTCAGGTTAACATACACAATTACAAAACAAAAATATCGAAATTATCGATAGTAATAAAAAAAAAAACATCGATTGTTTTCGATAGTGGAAACTATCGATAATAATCGATTCGTGATCGATATTTTTCCATCTCTATCCTGCAGTACCGATCGACATACAGTACTGATCAAACCTATTTCTCGCTTTGACTGATAGAAAAACCATAAAAAAAACAATTGTCCTTACTATGACCAATTTATACTGTAAATTAATTTTTTCAAATTTATTTCGTTTCAAAAAACGACGTTTCATATACACCAACCTGATATTATATTCAATATATCAAAGGCAATCAATGATAACATAAGAAACTTCACGAACTAGTAGTATGCTAACTGCAATAACAATTGCACCTTTACTGAAAACGCATCGAATTCGTATTAAGCGCGGATCTTTCTCCAACGATCGTCAATAACACGAAGAAAGGGGATAATAAGTCGCAGCGATTGATCACCTAGGTAATAAATAACGCTTTACTCGTCGTTTTGGATGGAATCAGAGCTGGTGGCGCACAAAACGAGCGTAAAAATTGCAACGTCTTTTGAAGGAACGTCACAATAGTTCAATCAGTTTGAAAGATGGCCCGGCTTGTTCCCGTGTCTGGCTTATTTTAGTATTCGCCGTGCACCAGTCTAAGTTAACGTGATTTCTGTTTAGATCGACACCATTCAGGGACGTTTCCGTCCTCCGCCTCGTAAGATTCGAGATTCTATCGAACGATGGTAGCTATCTTCCGCGAATGGGAAGGCTACGTGGATGCAAAGCAAAATAATGAAAGGAAAGTACGATTGCGAGGTGAATAGATGCTGGGAATGTCCCGGAATCAGCCTCGAATCGATAAAAACATTTTACCGTTGAGATCCCGCTGTTGAATAAATTTTATGTTTATTGAGCCGGATTGCCACATCCTAGAATCGCGACGATAATGGCCCGTCATGCTTGCGCAAGCACGCACAATCATTTTTAGAGAACATTCGATTATTCTTTTTGCGAAATGAACGCGATTGATGAGTAATTGTCTGAATATTTTTTGTTAAGTAATCGTTGTTGTTATTTTCGTTGAAATTATTCGTGAAATTTGTTTCTCTCCGTTTATTATCGGAAATAATTAGGGCCAACGTGTACGAACTGTTATAGGAAATGTGTATAAAAATTGTGGAGACAGATTTTAATGCAGTTGCGACTATAGGTATGGAAAAAAGAAAGTGACATTAAAAGATTAGAAATATTTAAGAATGCAATTGTGTTATACGTTACAGGTTAAAAGATTGGAATCACTTGCCAACTTACATTAATATTGAATCTGCTATTAATTCTTTATAAATTTGAAATTGATATTGGAGAAATTAATAGTAATTCACCTCATTTTGCTTGATTTGAATGATAAAAAATTTAGGAAAAATTTGTGATAAAAAAATGTTTCTTTTTATGTCTGGTTTTATGTAAATTCTTAGCTTCTTTGCGTACTTTGTAAAAAAATATATTCTTTCTTATAAGAACGAATTTCTGCTATAAAATGATAAAAATTATAAAATTAAATTAGTAACAAATTGTTAATATTGCAGTGGTAATATAAATTACATTATCTTTTTATCATAGGGTTTACATGTAATTGATCCAAGTATGCTTGGCATTTTATCCAACGTTCGTTGATAAAAGAAGTATTTACGTGTTCGACATATTTGGATTCTTCCCGAAATTAGAATGTATTCTTGTTGATTACGAAAAAATTCCTAAATTATTTCGTTTTAGTTGGATGGGTTGAATTACATTTCGTTAACAAAGAAGTTAAATTTCGTTAGTAACTACATTTAATAAACTAAAATAATTATCTGTAAATCACTTGATCTTTGTTCTTTGTATCCAATTACTTTGAAAAATGTGCAACAAACACATAGTGCATCGTCGAGCTAGCTGTCTGCAAATTGTGTAGTAACCCGATTGCAGGATCGAAATTCACATTGTACGTACTATTATTGCTTTCGATACAGATGCAAATATCAACGAGACTGGCGACGTAATAACGGCAGGAGAAAAGGCCAGCCCCTGTCGTTTCGGTCTTCATATACATACACGCATCCGCGGCCCTCCTCATAAATGCCAGATAAAATCATGTTATACCTTTAACGTCCTGCTTGGATTCACATGCATTATTCAACAGCTAATTCTGTTCGAATAACCGATTGAAAGGTAAGTCTGACAAAATATTTGATCACGTGTGTGATGTATCAATCAGATAAACACGTTAAGCAGTCGATTCCTTTTTTTTAATCAACGTACCACTAAATAAGAAGATCGTGAAATCGATCGTGAAACGAATGATTGATATATGAGCCGCTGAGAAGCTAAAATGATTAACTCCATTTTTTTATATTCTTACAATTTTAGTATCAAAACGCATGCTTGGTGCTTAATTTTTCATAAATAAAACAAAAATAAATTTTATTTTATGGCTCATATAGAATCTATCTGTGTAGATGGATACCATCAGGTTAGTGCATATGAAACGTTGTTTTCTGAAATGAAACGTTAAATACAGTGTGTTTCTTCAAAAAATTGTTTAATCAAAATAACTGTCACACTATTCTATATATACACTTTTCTCAACGATTAACTAGATTCATTATGTAAAATTTTTAGAAATCGTTAGGCTCTGAGTTCAAAAATTCTTTGAATGCTACTTTCACAGTGTCTTCATTTTCGAATAATTTATCTGTCAAACAAATTGTTCAGGTGTTTGAAGAAAAGGTAAATGAGATGTGGTAAAATTTCATATTCTTTACCGTGGATTATTTTTAATAATTTTTCTTAAAATATTATCATCGACGGCCCTGTTTAGCCTTCTTCTTGGTTCATTTCCAATGAAAAGTCACCAATCTTAAATTTTGCACACGAACGTTGAAGTGCCCTAACATTTACATAGCCTTCTTTAAATACTAAATTTATATTTTCAGCAGTATTCACCGCAGTTATTTCAAGTTTAAATTCATATAAAAAAAGTTACATGCATATCCCGATTATTCATCATGTCAGATAATAATGTCCAAACAATTTCTTTAAAAACTCCTTCTTTTAGACTATTGTGTATAAAAGCTTATAATCAGACAAAATTTAATACATGGTATCGACTCGTGAATTTCAGCTACTGAAAAAACGATATTTTATTTGCACCTATTTAATATAATAATTGAGTTAATTTTTTCAACCTTGGTACTTTTCTTTGATTCAACATGTCACTTTGGTGGAAGGAAATATTAATAAATATTAGGCAAACAGTTTGGTACCACCTGTCAGTTTACATTAATATTAAATCTATTACTAATTTTTTATAGATTTGAAATTGATGTTGTGGAGATCAATAACAATTTACTTCACTTCGATTGACTCAAGTAATAAAAAAATCTTTAGAACGTTCTTAAAGTTACTCACTTATTCTGAAAAATTTGTGTAACTTAGATTGCATAGTGATCCCAAACTTTTGGTAGTGTATGTATATAAAGCAATTTTAATAGCTAATTTATCGTTAAATAAAATGAAATACCTTTAAAGAAGAACAATAATTTAAAATAACAACCACTACTATTCTAAAACAATACACACAAAGAAAAGTGATAGTAGTTACTTATTCTCAACTAATACAATTCCTTCGAAACTTCAAAATGTTTCCACAAATTTTTTAATTTTCAACACACGAAGCGCACACTTAGCTATATAGCAGAAAGTACGGAAGAGAATTTTCTCGAAATATCGCTAAACTGACAAGATGGGAGAACTAAAATCGGCAATTGCAAGATCGATGAAGTATTTCAACGCAAAAGTGGCAATTGAAAGAAAGTAAATTCGGCCAGTGTAAAGGTTGCTGACGTGCCGTGACCTTACATAGAGGTGAAAAAGAATGGCGTCGGTCGGCGGTGTATGTCAAAATGTGTTTGACGCGAACCACCAGCGAGCAGAGATCGTGATACGAGGAAAATACGAGGATCTGAAAGGAACGGTGGATCGATGGAAAGTACTAAAGCTGCCTTTTATAGGCTGGGCATAAAGCGGAGCGGAACGTTTATACTCGCGCTTCGCCGTATACGTGTGTTTATGCGTTTGGCATGAAGCTTTCGTTATTCAAAAGGCTCGTTACAACCGGTTACTTTTCTTCTTGCGGAATACACTATGTGAAAGGAGAATGCAACGTGGACGTATAATTACACCTTGCTCAGGGTGGTTAGACCGATCCAAGGAAAACGAAAATGTAAAAGAACGATAACGGTTAGGATTACACAGTTCCGAGTTCAGGATAGGTGTATAATTACTGTACGCGTGACGAGAAAACACTGAATTGTTTTAACCTACCTTGCGGAACTATTTCGTCCTTATCCCTTGTCCAATAATTGATGGATTTGGGATAAGCTTCTGAATGGCACTCCAGAGTCAACTGTTGCCCCTCTCGAGCGCCCACCAATTGATTCTGCACCCAAATCATGGGCGGAACTGGAAGAAGAAAGATAAATTTTCGCAGCGCATAAGTAAACGTTTGCTTTTCCGATGCTCGCTTAGCTTTCGCATTTTGTCATCGAGGATAATCACGTGGAACGGGAATAAAGTGATTCGTGCAATTGTCGGTAACAAACTTCATCGGAAATATGAATTTGGGAAAGAATATATTTAAAGAAATTCACTTTTACGCGATGTAATATTATTACATTATGTTACATTATTAATATTATGTTACATTACATTATTAATATCATGTTATTAAATTACACATGTAATCGAAAATTCGTACTACTGGTACTTTGTTTGAATATTATGCAACGATTGTTGTGGAAATAAATAAAGTATTTTATTGAGTGTTTAATGTAAAAATGAAATATATGTTTGTACTTACAATGAACAATCAGCGTAATTCGTTTACTAACTGATGGTGGCACACTGTTGGATGCAATACAAAGATAGGAACCCATGTGTAATCGATTCACTTTAGTGATATTGAAATTTGGCCCTTTGACACTCATAACTGTAAGATAAATTTTAATAATAATTAATGCTTCGAATTTGAAAAATTAAATCATTTGCAGAAACATATCAAATTGTAAATATTTGCATTTGCTCGTTTAACGCGGCAATATCAAGATTGACAGAGGTATAATATACAACAGCAAATCAATTTTCGTAAATTAAACTTGTGCGTAATTTTCAGCAGCGAATTCGCCTAAATTAATGGGAATTTTCGGTATTTTTCGAGTAGAGATTTTTTATATGTAGCAGAAAAAAGAAGCATAGATGTATGTGAATTGTTATTTCTTTTTTAATAGTAATATATGCATTGAACACTTTCGATTTAAACAGATTTTGCGTGTGGAGTGGCACGATACTGCTCGTTGAAGCTTCCTGACTATATTTTTTTTATTCTTTTCCGGAAGTTTCAGTGAAGTTACACTTTCAGACAGTTTGGTATACGAGCGTGAAGTTTTTGAAATGGGCTCGAACAACTTTTTCAGCGTCAGTATATTTCCTGGCACTGCTATCTCGAATACGATGAAAACTGCGTCGAAATTTTCTACTATAATTTGTTTTGGAAAGTAATCAAAAACATAGCCGAGTTCATAAATTCCTTCCCCAATTTTAACACAATTTTCGAAGTCATATTTTACGCAATTTCAACTCAAGGTTATTGAGCGTGTTAATTTTTGTTTCAAATGATAAAATGTGTGAACCGTGTAGTATATCAAAGAGTACAAACGATGTTATGAATAATAAACAGTACCTACATCATCCGACTTCGAATCTTTTAAACTGCAAATGTTAAGAAGTGTTGAAAGATTCTTTTCTTAAATTTCTATAAATATTGTAATTTATTAACAGTGGAAGTTCACTATATTTATGATAAATACATGTATAACATAAAATAGAAATATACTTTTTTCTGTGATAGTATGTTTAATTTTTCTGTTCAGATAAATCATATAAATGAGCTTATTTTGTATGTATTAATCATTGGAATTATTCTTGAGAAAATTATTATAAATTACTGTATCTGGTGAAAATTTTATGGAGCTAACATATTTTCTGTATCACTGTAAATATTGTCAAAGTAAAACTAACTACAATTTAAGAATGATCGCGAGAATTTGATAAAGTTTATTCTGACAATAGTTGATGGGATTTAATTTGTCATATTTATATAAGTTATTTCGCGTATTTTTCCCAAAGTACATACGTACACGTTATTTATTACTGAAATTGTAAAAAAAAAATTATTTCATACATTTATTTAACGCTATTTAATATTTGTCCAGGTATATTATTCTATTTCCTATATGTGATTCGCGTAAATATTTCTCTCGTAAAATCGGAATTATTCTTTAAACATTGCGGACAAATAGAAACTGCAAAATTAGCTTTGACAGCTGAACAAGATAGAATTTTTCGTTTCCGTGGTCAAAGTCCAAACAGAAATTTACAGGAAACAGACAACCGGAGAAATACAGTTTTGGTGTTGTCTTCTGTGCAGGACGGCAAATTTAGTTTACTTATCCGGAAGTCGAGGTAGTCTACGTCCGTCCGTTAACCACAATTAAATTTGATGGAATATTTGCGTCTAACTAACAAACTGAACGATGTCAAATACGAAAGAAGGAAAACCGCGTGAAACCTAACGAGAAACTGGTTACCACACTTTCATTAATTTTCTTACAAAACAAATTGCAATTAACCAGTCACGTTCGTTTACACGTTTCGAATGTTTTACCACCGAAACGAATATGGGTAAATATTTAAGCGCATAGAAGTGGTTTTAATTAACTCATGTAATACATGACATTTTTTTATGAAATATAAAGTGAGACGGTTTTCCTTTATTTTTTCGTTTACCTTATCAGATAAGAGTTCATAAAATTTTAACAAATTATGAAATATATTTTAAGTTTGAATGAAATAGATAATATTTCATTTCTTTGTTAGCTTGTATAATTCATGCGCAAATTAATGGAATTATTGTTATTTATTACAAGTATTGTAATATTCCTTGTGTAATATTTATAAATTGCAAACAGAAAGGATGTTTTTCATAAGTTTGAAGACTGTGGTATTTTATAGATGTGTATTTAGCAGTTCATAAAAATCTAGATTCTATGAAATGAGTAAAATCAAGTTTTAAAAATTTTAGGATTTCGAGATAACCTAGAATGCAATTTTTTAATTTCTTTTAAAATTCCCTTGTAGCAGTACCATAAAATATCATTAAAAGTACAAGTTAATATTAGAATAAATACGATTCAAATTTTAATTAAGGAAGCTTCAATTAATTAGTTAGACGGGATGAAAAAAATCTCTTAGTAAACCTTATAAAGTGAAGTGTATAATAAATCCGTTGATGTATAATATGATGTATCATTTCGTTGATGTATAAACTAAAATAAACAGAACTGGATAAAATGTAGAGAAAAAATATTGGAAATATTATTTTAAATAACAGAGACTTTACGGTTCAGATTAAATGCTGTTTTAAATAAGAAGCGAAATTTCAGCAAATAAAATATTTTTATTCTAATAACCTCTAACATAAAATGAAATATCTTAACCTTGTATTTCAAATATTTCTTAACAATGAAAATAAGTTGAGAACGGAAATGATATTACATATACAAGAAATTGTAACATTTGGCAAAGTAAATTTATTTTGAGTTACAGCACGATTATTCGCATGTAACAAAGTAGTACCTACGTTGCTTAACACTAACCGTACCGACACTTATCCGGGCAAATGACCGGTTACGAAATAATTATATTTCTTCCGAAAGGAATGCTGGTGATTGTCAATTTAATATAGGAAACAGCCTTTAGATAATAATAATAAAAGAAAGCCATAGTACGGTTAATGTTAAAATTTTCATCCCTTAGGCTACTCGCTTAATTACGAATAAATTTAAATGAAAATTAGAATAATTAAAATATTTCAAAATAAAGCCCGACTATTTTCAATATTCTCCAAATAAAATATTATTTCCAAATACTATTTTGAAAAGTTATTGGGACAAATAAACTATTTTATTTTTATAGTAACTATAGATTTAAAATAAAATCGACTATTTACTATTTACTATTTGGAATAAAACAGTGGGTGATCAAATTATTAGAGCCACAATACGAAAAATATGTTTTTTTTTGTTTTTGTGTAGAAATGAAATCACAATATCAAGGTTTTCACACCAGATATTTTTTAATTAACGATTCTTCACTAAAGATACACGAAACAGTTAAACTTAGCCTATGTAGTTATAAAAAATACAGTTAAGAAGTAACAATGAAGTCAGTATTTGATAGCGCTACCTTTTGCTGCAATTACAGCCTTGATTCTTTTTTCGGTACATTTTAAGTAATTTACTATGCATTATAAGTAGTAAAAACACAGCAACGAAAATTAAAATGCTCAAGATCTATAAACCAACAAAACTGTAACACATGGTTCTCAAGTGATGATTTGCAGTACTGATACAAAATAACGTCCATATGGCAGATGATATTGTCTAAAGTGTTGCCAAGTGTATATTTGCAATTTGTAAAGATCAACGCTTTGTAAAAAAAATAATAAGAATTTAGTATTGTAGTATCGGGGCCTCTATACCCAAATAAGAAATCGACCAGGGAAAATAGACAGGAAGTAGTTGGCGTAGTGGGCAAAGCCTCGGCTTGCCAAGCCGAAAGGTCCCGGGTTCGATTCCCGCGTTTTGGGTCCCACAATATTTTTCCGTCGTCGGTTCCTACACTATTGTAGCAGAAAATACAGGTAAATCATAGTAGCAGCTTTTACAGCTGTATCATTTTAATTCGGTGCAACAGAGATCTTGTAAATAAACGAACAAGAAGAAAATATCGCGTTTCAGGTCGAGACGTCCCAAAAAGCATGCAATTTCTTCGACGTTCTACGTAACTTAAGGAACGATCTGTAATAATAATCTGTCAAGTGAAAAATGGATTTATGTAGAGGACAAGGTGGACGCGTTTAAATAGATATCAGTTATAACCCATTCAACGTTTCACTGTACCCTTGTACAAGAGGCAGCCACGTGAAATTCAGTACGCACAGCACCCTGCCGGTGTTTGCCAATTTCAATGCAAATATAGCAGATCTTCCTCACCTATGCAAACGTATCACCAGCCCCTAACCTATTGGCCTTGCTCGAACGCGGTGTGTTTGCCCTCCCTGGAGACTACAAGACTCGGCTATCCCGCCGCGAATCTGGTGAATATGCTTTCGCAGCTTAATGTAGATATTTGAAAACCTTAAACTCGCTTAAAGAAATTGAAAATTGTTTAGGTAAAAATATGAAACGTCGCGACTGTGGGCACGCTATGATTTGGGATACCATATTTTTTCATCACCAAACCGAGGCAGGTGCAAAGAAAAGGACAGAAAGAAAATTTTTTGAAAAAGTGTACTTTTATTGTAGTAATCAAAAAATTACGTAAAATGAAAAATAAAATAATAATTCAAAGCCTGTAGCAACAATCTATTTGGGAACCAAGTCATATTTTTCTGCAAATAAAACTTTCTTAAGAAGTGTTTTATTATTCTTAATTAGTTCGTAGAATTTTGTACACTTCAGAGCTCTTTGAAAATCATGTCACTTCAAAAATCGTAGTTGTAAACCGAGACTGTCCCGGTCAAACTATGCTCCTTAGTCACAATATCCTATCCATGCAAATTTTTCATTCTTTGGGATGTTTTGAAGTAATTAGAGCTCCAAATGTTTTAAGCACAGTTACAATGTACATAATTTGTACTGCTCCAGAAACAGTTTAATGTATTTGTCTCAACTGTTTTACAGGTGGATTAAAATTAAAAAGTCTCATTTTTCTTGGATATTCAAAAATGTTAATTAGGAAAATTAAGCGCTAAAGAGGACAGTACATGTGAGAATAGTTGTAAGCAAAACAAAAAATTGCATAAAATTTTGAATGATAGAATTTAGAATATAAATTTTGGTACCTGGTAAATTGAAAATATCATATCTGTGATAATTAATTGTTGAAAAAGAAAAGAATTAGATAAAACTTTTAGAAAATTATATATGTATATTCAGTTGTAGTGATTACAAAAGAGTTGAATCTGTTATTGTATCTCTATGTTTAAATTGGAAGTAATTTATGTAATTGTTTATCTAGCCAATTATTGAATAAGTCATTAAAATATTGTTAGAATACGTTGGAAAATTTTGGAAAACTAATGCTTTATGAGCTATTAGCAGAGAGTATAAACTCTGACAAGGATTAAACTGACCTTTCTGCCCGTTCCCCAGGAGTATTAACTGGCCATCTTCGCGTCGCCAGGCGATGCTAGGTTCCGGTGATCCTGTCGCTGCACAGCATAATGTCACATTACTGCCTTCTCGCACCACCATGTCCGTACTGGTTTCGGAGTCCAAAATGTTTGGCGGAACTGTTGAAAAAGGAGAAACTAACTTAAGTGAGAGAGTTCCAAATTATTTGGCTAAATTGTTGAAAAGGAAAAATTAACAGTTAAAAATTAACAATTAAAAATTAACAGTTAAAAATTAAGAATTAAGTGAAAGTGTTTCTTCTAAATTATTTATTATTTAGTTTTATTAGTTAAAATTTCAAACGCAGTTTAATTGTACTTTCGTTATTTCCAATATTTAATAGTATTGTTTGTATTGCTCCTTTTGACTGTGTTAATTAATAATTTTCCGAGATAAGAACATTTTGTTACGTCACAAGCGTAAACGTGAGGAAGACTCGGCCTGGCGGATTATCTATTATAAAATTCGTTAATCACATTTAGCCGTGAGACCAAAGTAACGAAGCTGACATCGGCATATCATAAATCGTCACCCCTTGGGCAGAATTACCGCAGCGACAGCGGCGGACATTCATACATCTTTTTGGAGGAAAACCCAGATTTTTGCCCCTTTTCGCAAGTTTCGTTCAAGTTTTGTTTGTAACCTGGGTGATGCTAGCACATCTCAGTAGTTAGTTAAACTTGTCGCGGCAACCGCTTTCATGTAATATAAAAGAAAATTATAGCTATCAATTTAAAAAAATTCGTAGTATCGTCATTATGCGAACACCATTGGAAATTTTAAAAATCTATTCAAGCAACAATAATGAAACTTTGTCCTCTTCTATATTTGTCTTATAAATCTACCATTTACGAGAAAAACGCTAGAAACTAATAACACGAATACCCTGTATATTTTCGCAGATATATGACACTAATTTTGACGAACAAATGTAATTTAAATTATATAATAATTTCTGCACGAACATAACAGCTGTCCCAATAATTATGAACGACAGTGTATAATACAGAATATCTCCGAACTGGTAGTACAACCAGAAAGAAGCGAATTTACACAAGAAAGTAAATCGAAAATGTAGAATAACATTTTTTCATACGAAGCTTGATTTCTGTATAAATCGATGTCAAAGTTTCATCGAGTAGGTGTGTATTTAGCAGGGCCGTATTTACCATAAGGCGCATTATAAAAAACAGCCTATTTAGTTATAGTTGCAAAATAAAATACTTATTTTCAAATATTAAATTCATAATATGAAAACACGAGATCGCTGAAAACGGAAATGCCAAATTTATTTAAGACTTGTTCTTTTGAGACCACGTAATGAAATTGCGCCTAGGGTCTGCAAAAGTATAAATGCATTTACACATGATCTCACTTACGCCAACATCTAACAAACATCACTGCGACTGTTAGGGTTTATCACGTTAGATAGTTAAGAATAAATAATGAAATAAAAGCAAGAACCAATATCCCTGCTAGATCGGTCGTAATGGTAAAATGGCTTGGCCAATACGATTTCTGGACTCGACACCAATGGATTCTTACTTATGGAACCACGTCAAGTCTGTTATATATCGCAACAAGAAAACAAGTAGGGAACAGGTCAAAGAGAAAATTATTCTGGTGTTCGAATATTTGAAAATAGGAAACGCACGCGTACTCCATGCATGTTAAACATTCATTTATTTGGAAATAAAACTTCGTATGAAAAACTGTCACTTTACATTTTTGGCTTATTTTTCTATGTAGATTTATACCTTTTTTGGGTCGTACCACCAGTTCAGAGATACCATCCTCTATATGTAGCAAGAATTAAATAGTTTCACAAACACAGTTGGAATAAATTTTCTAGAAATATATTTTAATACATTACCATTTTAAGAAATATAATTATAATTGTAGAATTTTTAAAGTTAATAAAAAAGGAATTCGTCTTAGCACATTTGACTTCTTAAGAATCTCCATGATTTTCAATAACAATGCACGTATTAAAGGTGGTAGGAATAACGTTGTACTAGCTTTTGTGTTTACAATAGCTCCTATCATGCTAGCGGTAAAATATATCTGACAATAGACGATCCGGTTCCCCTTGCGCTTTGCTCTTCGCTGTTGTACATTATATCCCTCTTTACACTTTGATCATACGGGCTGCGAATCGTGCCACTTTTTAGACGTGCATTATGCAATAAATTATACTGAATAAAGATTTTTTAAACTAAAAATTAATTTGAAAATTCAGTATATATTGCCGCTAAATAGAAATCGACCGGGTCAAAAATGACCCATTAGCAACTTTCCAAAAAAAAGTGAATGTTCAATACTGATAAGTATTATCATTTGTAACTTTCCAGTTTTGTTTTCTGCATGTTGACTTATACTTCTATCAATATAAATCTAATTTTTAATCACGCTTTAGTTACATAAAAATTCGATGTTTGAAACTTGCTAATAGGTTCATTTTGACTTAGACGGTTTTAATTCTCGAAGCCTTTGAAATATCCATACAGATAAATCTGGTAGATTTGAAATTATTCTGTCGCCTGCATTCCTTACAAATCTTCTTTACACGTTCACGAAACAGAAAATTGTTTTGCTTTTAATATTCGGAAGAAAAGAAATTGAAATTTCGGTCAAAGGATAAACACAGAGACTTCTTTGCGTATCTACGCTATTCGTACTAATATATCCTTTCAAAAGTAAGTACATATATGTACACACATCTAAAACAGGGAATAGAACTTCTGATTACGTTTCGATTAAGTTCGTTCCTTTAATTTTTACTATTCAAAATGTATAAGTATAACAAAATTTCGTTTATAAATATATCAGTACATTTTCAGAGTAACTGTAAATTTATCATTTACGTGAATAAATTTTCCTCTTACTACAAAAGATCATTTCGGCTCTCTGGTCATAATTTATATTTATAAGCGTCACTGTCTTCATTTCAAACGGTCATAAATTATTTTTCATAATATTCGACTGTGATTTCGCCATCGTATTTTAAATAATTCACTCGAACCTTTCCTCGAATAAGAATATCATATCGATTATTATTATCGAACACTTTTACCGGTACAATTTTTAGGAGTTTATTGTAAATTTTGTATCACTTATTAGCAACCGAATCAGCAGATGTTTTCTAGAAATAAAATTACATCCTGCTTTCAGTTTACGAATCATAAATTTAGATTGATCTGCAGAAATAATCTGATTCGTTGAATCATAAACATCCGTATGTCTATGTGATTGGTTATGCGATACTGTGCGATATATTGTTATACTAACGTATCCAGCATTACCGCAGTAATAGCAGTAGCATTGTTGCTATAGTGAATTTATTTGCTTAAATAAAGTTTTATTTAAAAAATATAATAGCTTTGTTGAGATAGAAAAATATACACCTCCCGAACAAAAGTTTGGGATCACTATACACTGAAAGTTATACAAAAATTTGCAGAAAAAGTTACAGAGTGGACAGAGAAATTAAGCTTGAAATGTTAAATTATTACTAGTAGGACTAAATTAAATTAAATCATAGTATAAGCTATAAATGAATATGTAAACACGCGATGAAATTTAAAAATATGTTTTTCATATTATTCATGCATAATTTTTCCCAATATATTGTATATTGAATAAAAATTAGTGGGATTAAAGGTATTTTAATATACTAGTAGCTCTATATTTCTGCAAATACAATATTAAATCAAATTAATACTTAATTAATCATTTTAAATATACACTATAGGCTAAAAGTTTTAGATCACTGTGCATTGCAAGTTACACAAACATTTCCAGAAAGCAATTAGCAATTTTAAGAATATTTTAACCAATTTTTTCTTACTCGAAACAATCGAAATGAAGAAAATTGCTATTTGATTTCCACAACATGAATTTCAAATCTATAAAGAATTAATAGCACATTCAATATTGATATAAATTGTCAGATGATTCCAAGCTTTCGGCCGGTATTATAATAGTATAAACAGCATTTATTAATATACATATATGCTATTTAAAGCAAAGCGCTTATCATTGATTGATTACCCATTTCTATTCGTTCGCCATTCTGTTTATAATTGATTTTTCTTTGATCTTCCTATAATTGCAACTTTATAATTACTACGGTGTGAGACATTTTTAACATCTGTCCACTTCTTTGATACGAACACCTTTGAAAATTGTTACTTACGAGTTATATTCGCTTGATGAAAATGATGACCAGATAAATTGTTCAGTCTGTTAATATATGTACGTATGTTGTTCAGAACTTGTTTCTTCGTTGATACTGCAGTGTTTCTTCTCCGTGTAACATAGATCACCGGACATACGCTGGTATTTACAATATTTTTTTAGAATTGATAACAGTGAGAATGTTTATGACAGTTTACGTAAAACATCACTGACACAGTTTCTACAATTCATGTTCATTGTTTGACAAGAATCGATTTATCTCCAACATTTCACTCGGTGATCTACACAGCAATTTTTATTTTCACAGTTTTTTGAATATTTATGCCTTCGATGTATTGTCAAAATGTATTCGTCAAATTTCAATATCATCGAGTTTTACTCTAATTTGGACATAAAATTAGGATTGAATAATGACGAAAATAAAAAATTTTAACTGCTGCAACGTTAAATTTTAATTGCAAACTTAGCAAATTTCGTTTATTCATGTTTAAAGAGTCTGTCTTGTACTGGTTCTATTTGACATTGGTCATAAATTAATAGCTTCCGAAATTGAAGTGCTTTAAAAATATTATTGTGGAAAATAAAAATTTTTTTTATTATCTATTCTATCTGTGTAAGTGCCTATATCAAATGTATAAGATACTTACACTATTCAGGGCATTTAATAAAAGAGAATGAAACGAATTAAATAAAGAAAAACTTTTTAGTTCTCGAAGTTTTGATATTATATGAAATTAGAAATTACAAAATCGAATATATATTGAAAATAGTGTTAAATTTAGTCAAAGCTTAAAGAATTCAAAATTGCATCGTATATCTGCAAAAGCAATTGATGTAAAACCTCGAAAACGTCAATTACATTCCATTCCATAGATTTAATCATAATTTCAGTTAAAATGTATCTATACTGGTTACTTCAAAT